ATTTCATGGACTAGCCAATTCAATGTAATCATCCTCTCGAATAATTATATGGGCATTCTGATAGACTGTAAGCCAAAGATTTGGAAATTTTACATGTGAGATTTTATGCCTTGTGAGGTCTGTATGTAATCAGTTACCTGAATCTACTGTTGGAAGATCACAGATCACTTCTTTGAGAACTCCAATCCAGCTTAAATTGCCCAAGTGACACCTTTCACATTTAAAGTTAGAATATTATCATTGTGTATTCAATACTGTTTTAAGGAGAAAATAAACTGATCACGCATCTGATCCACATTTACTACTTGCCGTCTGTTAACTATATCCTCAGTCGGGAAGGTAAGAAATGTATTCACCCATAAATAGCTTAAAATTTAATGGGGAAAACATGATGCACATTTATGAAACTATTAATCCCAAAATAACATTGTGTATCATCATTATGCTTTCGTGTAATTATTAAATATAATGAAATATTACACATCACAGTGATTTTTTTCAAATGTGGATGTGGAGACATGAAACTAAATTACTTATTGTAGAAAAATTTATTTCTATTCCTGCGTAAAAACAATGTTTCAATATGTCTAAAGGACATTGAGCTCTTGAAATAATAAAATGTTTGTCAGAGGTGGACTGTAGAGACGCATGGGTGTTCTGGAGGAGGCTGGGCAACTGGTACCTAAGAAGCAAGATAGTCTACAACTTCAGCGCACTAGAGGACCAAGTGCACACGGAGAAAGCTCTTACAGATGCTGGCCGTGGGTTGCCACAATCCTGCCTGTACAGAACAAAATGCCAGGACCTGTAGGCTAAGAAAGCAAGGAAGCTGATGGGGAGGATCGATGTCGATAGGAAGAAGTAAAGAGACAGTCTGCCATTATGGAAAACGGCAAGGAGGCTCCTCAGAAACTCCAGTCGGCCAGGAGATTCAGAAATTCCACTTCTGGGTATGTGTCCAAAGAAACTGAAACCTGAAGATCACAGAAATCTACACTCCCAAGTCCATCGCAGCCCTGTTCACAGTTGCCAAGATGTGAAATCCATCTACCAGTGGAGGAAGAAAATGTGGTACATACACACAGCGGAATGCGGTCCAGCCTCAGGAAGGAGGAGCTCATGCCTGGCAACAACACGGAAGGATCTGGAAGACAAACCCTGCTATACGGGAAATACGCCAGGAGCAGAAAGCCACCCAAACTATCTCCCAAGTGTGTGTAGTCCCAGATCATGCTGCTCACAGAAGCTGAGTAGAATGTCGGTTCATAGGGGCTGGGCAGTGGGCAAAGGGAGGGATGTGGGTCAAAGGACCCAAGATTGCAGAGATTGGAAGATATATTTGCAACATGGTAATTATATTTAATAATAATGTATTATATCTTTCAAAATTACTGAGAGTCAATTTTAAATACTCCCACAGCAGCAAATGATAGGTATGTGAGGCAATGGATCTATTATTAGCTGGATTTAGTCATTCCACAGGGTGTACAGATGTCAAAACATCACATTGCATACCACAAATATATACAATTTTTGTCAATGAAAATAAATTTTGAAAATATTCTTAAAAAGAGAAAGAAAGAGAAACCGATCTCCAGCTAGAAAGCAAGTTAAGCCATGAGGTCATGTCTTTAGCTCCAAGTAGAACTGGAGCCACGTAGTGAAGAAGTCTGGGCTTCAGAGAGTAGAAGCTGCTTAGCCTAGAGGGTCTTTTCAGTAGCTTTCAGGAGGTCCATGAACCTTGAAATAGTATCTTCAGTTTGCACAAATGTTTGAGAGTTTACAGCTCTCGCAGTTTCTCTCGTTAAAAATCTACAGCCCAGATGAAGTTCAAGTGAATGAACAGACCACTGTTTAAATTAAGTCAGTAATTATGAAAAAGAAGAAAGTGGTGGTCTTGGATCCCTGAAAGTCCACATGAGCCAACTCAGAGCTGCCCATCCAGTGGGACCAGCCCTGGTGTCCAGCCTGTGCTCTGTGGCATGCACTTCCGCCATGCTGATTTCCAACTGCCAGGGAGATACTGACCAACGCCTAAGTCCTTGAAAACGTGAACCAGCTTCTTCCAGCCTGGAGGAGTCGGCTCCAGAGACAAGACAGGTAAGTTCTCAGGTCTGGAGAAAACTCAAGTTAGGTCACTAATGAATATAGGTGAGCCTGCCCTTCCACGCATTTTCTCTTTAAATTTTGGAAGTATTACTTTAAATAGAAGAATATTAGGAAGACTTCTGAAAATGCTGAACTGAGTTTAAAAACAAGAATCATGAATTAAGAAAAAAAAATCTTCTCTTACTTTTTGATGAGGAAATTAACGTCTGTAGAAAAATTAATGGAAGAGGATGAAATGGCAGAGGGTGCCAGAGTTACAAGGAAGAAATCAGGTCCCTTCTAGAGCAGTGACTCTCAAAATAGGGATCCTGTGCCAGCAGCAGCAGCATCACCTGAAACCCTGATAGAAATTAGGTTCCTAAGCCCACTCCCCAGAGCTTCTGGGTCAGACACTCTGAGAATGTGGCCTAGTGGCGTGTGTTTTAAGATCTCCAGGGACGGTGGCCTGCACTACAGTCTAGGGACCACTTCCCTAAAGCAATGGTCTCAGATTTCAGGTGACCAAGCATCCCTGGGAGAATTCATTAAAGTGCGGGCTCCTGGCCCCACCACACAATTGTTAAACCAGAAACCTCAGGGGCGAGGTTCAGGAATAAAACCAGGTTTTATTCCATTCGAAACTATTTGCATTTGTCGTGGTTTGTAACACAGAGCCACTGGGAGGAAGAAAGAAACCAAAAAAAAATGTTTATGCACAAAAATATATCAAAGACTCTAATAAACCCTCATGAAATTATTACTCACCTTAAAAAATATAAATATTATTTATTTTTTAGTTTATTTTCCGTGAGGATAATTTAATGAAATGCCTATCATCTCCCCAGCAGATAACTCAGAATGTGTCTCTCCCAGATAAAGGTTTTTGTTTTCTATTATTAGTTGCCATTGTTACAATGAATAAAATTAATAACAATTTTCTTAAATCTTTATCACAGAAATACAAAAAAGTGTCTTTTGTAGGTCCATACACCACTTTTGTTCGCTCTCTCATTTTCTGGAATAGCTCCTCACCCACCTCACTTCTCAGTGCCAGGTATTTGTTAGAAAACCTGGGCTGTGAGCTTCAGTTTTCCACACTCTGGGCTTGGCTGAATGTGCAATCAGGATTTTTGTCTTGAATGGCCTGCTAGATTGATCCAGAGACTAGTTTCCCTTGAGGTACTGTGTCTGGGAAGCATGCTTCCTGGGTGGCCCAGTGTACTTGCTGCCCTATCAGGAGGCACACAAGGTCTAGTTTTAACCCTTTCTGGGCAGTGAGATTGATCAAGGGGTACAGGTATGGTCAGACTGAACTATCCAATTAAAAATTGCAAATCACATTGTGTATTTCCTGCCTCAGACTAGGCCAGGACTGCCATGTACAACCCCCACAGACAGCTAAGGGTCGCTGGAGTGAACTCCCTAAGGCATCAAATAAAACACAGACACACAATTTACCTTTAAATCAAGCCCCAGATGGCTCCTCTGCCCTCGGCCTCAAGTTCCCCAAATGGGAGAGTGAGGAGTCTCACTAGATGCTGGTGAGAGAGCGCGAGCACGGTTCAGAATGGACTTTTACTGGGGGAACTCTAGATTCTTTAGAAATTTCCATCCAATGAAGGTCAAAGGGGGCAGGGTTACAAGGACAGGTGAGCATAGCTCGATCCCTGGGGATGTGGGAAGGCACGCCCCTGCACGAAGATATATTTGCATTTTCTCTACCCTCAAGATCAGGGTTACTGTCTTCAGTTACCTAAGCAACCAGAGCACAGGGTGACCAATAGTGCCTCAGCCGACCAGGAGGGGAAGCCAACACTGGTCACAGGTTATGTCAGCCTCCCACACAGGACCCCTGGCCACCTTGAGTGGAGGCTGGTCCTTCAAGACACAATGAAAGCAGGGTTCTCCTCCCCAACCGGGCATTTTCAGTGATCAGAACTATGAAACATATTTATTTTTTATAAGAAGGTAAATAAGTAGTGAGTTCATATTAATAGTTGCTATTCAATTCAAGATCACCAGGCATTTATTTGACATTTATACTGATGGTCTGACTTTCAAACCAATGATATCCATATTACCACTAACAAAAACATCACTGAACATGGTTTTAAGCTGTCTGCCTCACAACATATACAGTAAAGAAACACTGTTTTAAAGTCACTGGGGAGATTTCTGTACTCTTTGTGTCTATACCACCAACTTGATACTCTATTAGGTTTGTTCTAGCTTGTTTTAAATTGGGGGGATTACTTTTTCCTTTTCAGATTCTAAAATAATTGTAGAATTAAAAAAACTGTAAAACAAAGGGCATTCAGAGAGATCCAGCTGCCAAATCCCCCCAAAATGCGGTACCTAGCCTGGTGCAATGGTCTACACCTGTAGTCCCAGCTACTGGGAAGCCTGAGGCAAGATGATCACTCAGTCCTAAAGTTCAAGACTAGTCTGGCCAACAGAGAAAGACCCTCTCTCAAAAAGTTGTTCCATTTTGGATTTGCAAAGACAGTGTGCAAACATGCTATTTCCCACGTTTTCAATATGTAAGCATCTTTATTTTTTTATACCTGGTAAGTGAATAATGGCTCATCAATAGTAGTTTTAATTTCATTTTTCTTGTTATTAGCAAGAGATTAAGAGCCAAGTTTAACTTTACACTTTGTTTTCTATGAATGGTCTGTTCTTCCTTTCAGTTCATTCTCCCATATATTTTTTTGGGGGGGCAACATATTTAATTAAATTTATCAAATTTTTCCCCATTGCTTATATATGGTTAGGAGTTTGCCTACTCTCTGGATATAGAGAAATTCACCCATGTTTTCTTATAATCTTTTTTTTTAACCAATGATTTTAAATAAGTTCCTGAAGAGATGTTTATGACCCAAAGCACCAGCTAATATTCCAAACCAATAAAGTGATGCTGAACACCGCAGTTTTTTTTTTTTTAACATGAGACACATTTATTAATCAGTCACATTCACATCTTTCTGAAGTCTTCTAAAAGATGTCAATCTGAGGTCTTCTTGCCTAAATGACAAAAAGTTCCATTAGGAAAATAGAGAATATTTCTGAAGCAATATATGCTATGAATAAACAAACCTATTCAATTGTTAAAACCCTCACCTGTCTAAGAGAAGACAACATAAATCACTATGATGCAGCCCACAATCCAGCCGATCAGGAGAAGAATGGGAACCAGAAAGTGCTGTAACGTGGACTCCGCTTAAAAATAAACAAAGGAAAATGATTAGTTAAGTCGTTTTGGTGTTAAATCTTCTGATCAAGAGAATAAGTGTATGGTAATGTGAAGGGAAAATTCACTCCCTAGCATCCTGTGCATAGGTATTCTTTCTTCTGTATTAAGGATGCCTGTGGGTCAGCCCCAGCCCCTTGGAATACCAAAGGCTGTCCTTTTACAGTGTGTGACCTTGGGCAGCTCTCAGCTGGAACTTCCCTACTTGAAGGTCTAGGTGACAAGATGTGTGATACCTACCTCCTGGAGTGGTAAGGGTCAAATGGTACAATGCATGCTAGGCTTTGTCAACTCCAGGCCCCGTGGGGTTAGTGTACACAGAACACATCTGTCATTTGTGCAATGACACCTAGAGGGCTGCTTACCCAACCACCACCCGCTGTAACTCGGAGGTGGTTCCCACAAAACTGGAAATCATAATGTGGAGAAGTGTTGGAGGATTGTTCTTGGTCTCAATGACTGGCTTTATATTCCATAGGGAAAGGAAACGGGCATACCTTACATAATCGTTTTCAAATGGAGAAAAGAGACTATTTCTTTAAACTTGTTCATTATAACAACCAGCACTGAACTGGAATCTCTAGGCAGCAATAACCCAACTCACGAAGGGAAGACGTTTGACTATCATATTTCTCTGGCCCCTCCTATTTGTATTTTTACCAGTGAAAAGCAATTTGTAAATAGTCACTGCATCAATCCTGCTCATTCAAGCAAACACTTGTGCACATACACATTGTGGAAAGGTTCAGACAGCACAGGAAGACAGCTCAGAATCAGGGTTCAGGACTCCAATTCTTAACTGGAAAGCACAGCCCAGGTCTGCCATTAGCTACAGGGAGGCATGTTCTCTCCAAGTGCTCTCCCCACCACACCTCCCAGCACTTCCAACTGTGAAGGGCTTTTTAAACGCTATTAAAATAAAGTCATCAAGAGACAAGACATTTCTAAAATTAGAACATGCTTTCATAAAAGCAAACTCTCTGAAGTTTAAAGGAACTTTAATACTTGCAAGCTATTTTTACAAGGGTCGGTGTCTCTCTTAACTGATGACTAGAGTGGTCTTCCCTTGCTGCTCTTCTCACTGTGACCTTGAACGAGGCGTGAATCGGTTAATAAGAATGCTCTTTGCCCATTGTGTGCTCTGGCTGTACGTGTAAAGCAGTAGATGCCCTTGACTCTCATTTGGACAAAAGCCTGTTCGTGAGTTAAGGGGCCAGTACAGTGAAAATATAGAACAGTAAATGTTTAACTGTTCATGTAAATGAGAATGGATTTTTGTCAGTTTCAAAGAACTTGAAAATTAATATTGATCTTTCAATTGAAAACTTATAAATATTTTATGCAAGCTTATTTAATAAAATTTAATAAGGCATATTTTAATGAAATTTACATTTAATAAAAGCTCTAAAAGTAAATATTCTATTACTTTCTATTCCTTGTAAGACAGTATAATTTGCCATGCATTTCAGCACTCAAATGTAACCTTAGTGTTCTTTGAGCATTGATATTTCTGGATTTTTCCTCTATGTGTAGCACTGTTTGGAAATGGGGGTACATAAGCCCCAACATAGTCTGCACACTCATGTTATCAGCACAAGAGCAAAACTTCTTTTTAAATCCAGAGAGTAATTTCGAAATGCTTCTCTCTTTGTCCAGCTCTGAGCACACCACGTGGTGACCGCTGGAGGTGCTCTTAAGGGCACTGCACTGTGGGTCCAGACTGCCCAAGCCCAGACCTGCTGCCACCAATCCAGTGCCCGTGGACAGACACTAAACTTAGCCATATGTCAGTTTCCTTATCTGTAAAAGGGGGACAACGAGAAGAAACATATTGTACCAGGTCGTTGTTGGAATTAAAAGCAAAAATTCCTGCAGGTTTTTAATTGGAGTCAATTATGTAAATATGAAAAATCTTTAAAGAGCAGAAAAAATAAATTTAGATATGGAGCTTATTAGAGATGACTAAGCCAAATTTTCTCATTTTACAGTCAGAAAGCAGGCTGGGAGAAGCCCAGCGACTCCTCCAAATTCACCTGGCCCATTAGTGATCCAGCACAGAACTTGGCTGTCCTTAACCCTGGCCCAGCACCCCAACGACCTCACATCCAGAGAAGTATCGGGGTTGACAACTCATCTTTCAAAATGAGCATGAATAAGATTAAGCTCCTTTTATTGTCTGATTCTTTCAAAATTTGGTACAACACATAAGCATGATTTCTGAACGACATATCTATCAAATTCCTTTTTGGCAGCTACATTAAAATGGCTAATGATCCTTTAGCAGAGATAACATGTTCTTTAGAATGCAAATGCTAAGAAACACAAATAAACCCAAGTCCCCCAATCCTTCTTTGCTAAAGAATCTGTGCCTTGGCTCTTACCTTTCCCGGCCATTCTTCCTGCTGTGGAGTGGCGCCGCGGGGCACACTTACCTCTTCCTTATTGTTATCCAGCGTCTCTTTGAACTTTAAATAGAGAGATATCTGAAGAGTGTGGCAGCTGCCCCTCTCCTGCCTGCCAATTGTCTGCAGGGTGATGTAAGTCATTGGAAAGCAGAACTCCTGCTTCTGCTTTATTCTTTTATTATGGAGGAAACAGGGGGCTCTGGGGACTGGAACACTTAGGTAAGCTGAGTCTTCCTAATGCAGAGGCATGCACATTTTTAATCCTCTTTAGATGATGAGAAGAAAATGTTCAGAAAGGGGGCACTCAGGAAAAATGACTTGGAAACTACAGACTCCATCAGGAGGGAGGGTGATACATAAGAAAGAAAGGATTTGGGAGGTGGAGAGATCTGGGTTCAAATTCCAGCCCTGCTCTTTCTGTTATGAAAACTAAGTCCTTTAACCCGGGCTTTGAGTTGTTTAATTTTAAAATGAGAATAAAAATACTTATACAGGGGAATTACATAATGGCAAAATGAAAAGCCATATGAAATCTAGACAGTTCTTTATTATATTGCAGATGCAAAAGATAAAATAAATTAAATGATGCCCCATCCTTTGAACCATCCTAAAATCAGAAATTGTTGATATAAATGTACTAGAAACTAAACAACAAAGACCCTGTGGTGTTGCCTAGATTTTCAGGGAGCAGTGATAAGCTAGTTGTTTATAATAGCGACGTTAAGAAAAAGACATTTCATTTTTCAAAGTCCGACCTGGTTTATACAACATGACCTGCACTATTCTCTAGGTTCTCATTGGAATGGCTTTAATTTGGGAGTCTGACTGGAAAAAAATCTCTCAAAGTGACCCAGTGATTAACATCTCCAAAACCCAGCCTGGGATTGAGCAGGTTCTCCAGCAAGAGACCTGATCAAAGATCTCCACAAAACTCCAAGAGTCATGTTTCCCTACAAAGGGCCACATGGCACCAATGCTCAGGTTCAGTCCAGGGTTCTCTGAACTCCTGTTTAGGCACCTGAAAAGCCCCTCTTATCCTAGATTTGCAATGACATTTCAGTTGTACTGAGCGTCCACCACAAGGCAAGGACATTGTATGCTTTTCTACCTTAATTAATATGAAGCCAAGATCTGGCATGTTTGTGTCATTTAAGCCAAATTGTCACACACACATCTCTCTCTCTCTCTCTCTCTCTCTCTCTCTCTCTCTCTCTCTCTGACCCTCTCCCTTTCCTATTTAACATTGAAAAACAGTTCCTGACTGTACCAGGCAAGCAGAGAAATAATGTATTGTCCATATTACAAAATCCCTTTCTTATCTAGTAAATTTGGGCATTTTTCTCTATCTTAGCTAATAATATATATTAAAAAGGTTAACCGAGTGCCATAAATTGATATAGAGAAGGAAAAATTATCCCTGATCTCAGTTAATATAATTTTAAATTATGTTCTTATGTATTCAGTTTAATTGATTAATAATAATAATTATGCATCTCTGAGCCACAGTGTGAGGTTGGGTGCATTCCTACCTTGTGAAATAATCTACCCAGGATACTCAAGCTGCTCATCATCTTGAACATTCATAGTTTCAAACAAATATTCATATTATCTTATAGGGAAAACATTTTTTAAATAGTGAAGTACCCCCCCCCAAAGAAAACAATACACATACATACTAGAGTAAAATAATTTGCTTAAACTAAGTAGAAATAGAATGTACTAAAAGGTTTATACATTTTAAACACTCATTTCCATTTCAATTATCTTAAGCTTTCTTCTTTGATATAAAATAGACTGTTATTAACATTATTGCTATCAATTTGGGGATTGGGAACGGATTACTTTATACCTCATCATTTATTTTTCTGACTTTTCTATAGAAAGAAAGAAGTGGGGGAATTAATTCAATGGACATGAATTTCCCAGATATCAGAAAAAGGTTCAGTCAAGAATTTCATTTCCTTGGTATTTCATAAGTAAATTTTTAAAAATTTTATAATATTTATTCAGGAAAATGTTTTATTCATCAATAGACTGGTTTCACTTTGAACTCATAAACCCAAGGGCCTTTATTTGACCAATTTCTAATCTTTCTCTTAGGACAAACTATTTAAGAACATTTTCTATTTCTACTTTACATACTCTCTTAAAGGTTTAGCTATTAAATCCCTTATTCTCAAGGTGACATTAGATTCTTCTAGAGTACTTGAGCTTAAAAAAATTAAACTATTTTATTCCTTACTCAAAATAAGTCAGAAGTCAGAATTCATCACTTTTCAAATATTTTTACCACTAGTATCTGGAATTACAGTATATGGCCCTGATTGTGGTAGATGCTCTGCTTGGGGCTGGCCAGCTGAGTGGGTGGCTAAATCAAGGAACTCGGAAAATGCAGCTCAGTTTTCACAACTAAACAAAGATTTACTTATCGTAATACCTAAACAAGTCACAAGTAATAAAACAGTCTTAACTATATGCTAGCCTCATCTGGTATGCTTATAGTGACAATATTTTCCAGTCTTAATTATTAGTTATATTAGAATAATCTGTAGTTCATGATATGGTCAAATAAAAGAGTGAAATCAGCAGAAATAGAGAAGTAAGAATCTCCAAAACTCTCTCTTCTCAATAAAAGCAATAAGAAAACTCACTACAATTTAGGAATCAAATTTCTCAGAATTCTGGAAACTAACCATAGGTTTACAGCAATTGGGAAAGCATTTATAACATTTATTTAATAAAAAGTCTTAATCTCAGCATGAATGGCGGAGTTTTTGTTGCCTTAATTTGACTTATTCCATCTCTCCATCTGCTCTTTGCAGTAGACTTGAAAACCTGCATGCCACAATACCAGTGAACACCAGGATCTAGCCCCCACCAAAGGCACAGGATGGAGTAAAGCTCCTTAGAAGTCTCATTCTAGGGAAATCTTCATTATTTGACTTGTCTGGTTATTCCCCCCAAGTGACTCCACCCTTGCAAGGCTATTGTTGGCTCAGAGCTCACCCAGTGTGAAAATTATCCCCACTCAGAGCATTTGTTGAAAACAATTAGAGGCAAGTGTTGAAGGTCAGCTGCTGGTTAACAGAGTGAACAATGGGCTAAGAAAAGGCTTTAAAGGGGAAACTAGAGAGTGAGACATTCATAGAGGTTTTGAAAGGCTCTCCACATCCTTGAGGATTTAGGCCACAAGTGTATGATCAGATGTTTGTGGGCCCATGCCTGTGGGCATGCATAGAAAAGATCTGAAAAGGTCCTAAGCTTCCACCTCAGGCTAACCTTGGGGCTGGAGAGAGGAAGTGCAGGGTAAGGCAATTTATTAACTGTCGGTTGATCATTAAAGGCATTCTCTAACACTTTCACAAAGCCCTTTTTCAAAGTCTGGGTGACTACATAGTCCCAGGCATTTAAGGAAATGTCTGTTCAATCATTAGTTGACCACTAAGCCAACTGAGCAGAAAGAAAGACCAAAGGCCACAAAAGACAAAGAATACAGACTGCACAAAATCAGTGCAAAAAAATCACTCAGCAAACAAACAACAATAACAGCAGCAACAACAAACTCTTGGGAGGGACAGAATCTGATTTCAAGAGTTGCCAAGTTATATAATTCAAACCCAGTTGTTTTAGTCAGCTTTTTTGCTGGCGTGACTGAAATATCTGACCAGAACAATTTTAGGAGGAAAAGTTTATTTGGGGCTTATGGTTTCAGAGGTCTTAGTCCATAGAAGCCTGACTACATTCCTTGGGGCTCATCATGGCCGAAGAGTGTAGCAGGGGGAAGCAGTCACATGGTGATCAGGAGGAAGAGAGACTCCACTCACCAGATACAAGGATATACCCCAAAGCCACACCCCCAATGCTCTACCTCCTCCAGCCACACCCTACTTGCCTTCAAATACTACTCAATTATTCTAATCAGGTAATTAATTCACTGATTGGGTTAAAGCTCTCTCAACCCAATCCTTTCCCCTCTGAACCTTCTCACATTGTCTCACGTGTGGGATTTTTGGGGGACACCTCACATCTAAACCATAACACCAGTTTTCAACTACAAGTTATGAGACATGCAAATGAACAAAAAAAAAATATGGTCCATATACCAGGAGTAAGAAGTAATCAAAATCACAGATACTCCTCAACTTGCAGTGGGATTATGTCCCAACAAACTCATTGTAAATTAAAAATATCATTAGTCAAAAACGCATTTGATACATCTAACCTGCCAAACACCATAGCTCAGCCTAGCCTACTTGAAACATTCTCAGAGTGTTTCTATTGGCCCATGGTTGGTTCATCTACCACAAAGGCTATTTTATAATGAAGCGTTCAATATCATGTGATTTATTGGATACCAGACTGAAAATGAAAAAGAGAATGGTCATATGGGTGCTCACCATTATCACAACAAAAAGCACAGGTCCTGAAAAAATCTTTGACGCTGAATGATAGAGATGCTACTGCAACAAGGCTATCTACTTTGCTGACTTCTGATGAGGCTTGGGAGTAACTGAAAGAAGGCACTGGGACATTCACACTTGATAGGTTGGCAACTATAGTGTTCCTCAGGAAAATGTCATCTTGACTTTACAGTTTGTTTCTGATTTGCATTATGAATTTCTCTGTAGCAAACAAAAGAGCCTCCTGTATCAACCTGTCTGCCTGTCAGCTCAGAAGGATCTCTCATAATTGGTGCCATTTGCCACTTTCTTTCTTTTTTATTTGTTATATATATATATATATATATATATATATATATATATATATATATATATATATATATATGACAGGAGAGTGTATTTGGGCATACAAGGAGTATAACTTATTCTAATTAGGAGCCCATTCTGGTGCTTGAACATGATGTGGTGGTGTATTCATATATGAACATAGGAAAGTTATGTCTGATTCACTACGCTATCTTTCCTATTCCCATACCTTCTCCCTTCCCTTAATTCCCTTTTGTCTAATCCAAGGAACTTCTATTAATTGGTGCCATTCTTTAACATTCATATATCATTGCTGGTAGTAGCAAACACCTCCACCAGTTTCTTTGTTGTGAACGTTCTTGGATATATATTTTTCTTTCTCTGCCTCAATTTCTTTACTTCTTTATTCCTCCAGTTTGATCAGCCCCTTGTTAGAAAGCTCTTCAGCCACAGTACCAAAAAAGCTCATGAATATCCTCTTCATCAGTGTTCAGTTCAATCTGTTCCCCAATCACTGATGCCTTGTTACTTACCATTTTGTCAACAGCAAAATCTTTGGTAAAGCCTTTG